CTATACTCCTGACCTCGGATCATCCGGCCCCAGCAGTACCACACCAGAGCTGCTCGAATATAGCTTTTGTAGTGTCCAAAATGTCATATTGAGTGCATTGTTGTGCTCAGAACATGAATATAATGATCATGCCAAAGCACAATATGTATTTCGCCAATTGAACTCGGTACCTCCCAAATAGATCCTATACCATATAGGTATACATCCCCAATTTTGCCTGGAATTTGAGGATCCTAGTCCCATTGTAGAAAATCATCAATTATATTCATTTCACATCAGCAGCTCCACCATATGGGGAGTTCTGCATACCCCAGATTTGTTTTATGCTGGAAAAATCAGGTTGGATAGTCGGTACAACATATTCTAAATCTGGGGCATTCTGAGAGATTTTGTTCCTTGACATGATTCCGAGAGTTGACAAATTTTTTAAACATTGGACTGCTCCTATCTATATGGGCTCGGTGAAAGTGACGCCAGTGACGCCAACTGACGCCCCTGCCGCCTTTGTGACGCCCTCGATCGGGAACATTGACGCCCCCATGTCACGTCACACCTCGACTGCCGCCCTTTCAACCAAGAAAAACAAATGTATTGTCAGATAGTGCTGCCAATGGACGGTATAGTGCGTACCATATATGCTCCGGGGGATAAATGCTCTCAGTTTCATTTTCTAATGAGATATTCAAGAAATAGTCGGTGATCGGAATACATGGAGAGCGGTCCAATTGCTGCATAGGCTAACATACATTGTCCGATAATGGTTCAGATATATAGGTGATATAGCCGAGTATCATTTCGTTCAAGTCCTCGCTGGTGGATCCTCTCTTCAACCTTTGATTGTAACCAAGCCTCTCGCATCTTGCATCTATTAAACACCGCACCGCTGCCATAGGGCAATAAGTAGGTTGTCAGCTAGTGGATGAGTTTATTGAGTAGGTGAGTCAAATGTTGAAGTTCTAAGCCTGAAATGATCATATAGGTCAACTCAAGTTGAACTTGAACCAAAGTCGGATCACAGTTGAACTGTTGTAGTTGGCAAAGATTCTGAGCTTATACTACCGGATTCAACCTGCCTCTGGCGTACATTAGCGCAATCCCTCAACGTGAAAATGCACCTTTCCCAGCGCAAGGAATTTCTTTGACCGTTCCCGGCACCACTCTGTATTGCCGCCCATTGCCACCCCATGTCACACTGACACTCAGTCACGCAAGTATTGCTGCCCCGGCGCTGAAATGTGACGCCCCCAGTGACGCCCCCTTGCCGCCCTGTGCCGCCCTGATTGCCGCCCTTTGACGCCCCCCTGCCGCCCTTGACGCCCTAATTTGCCGCCATTTGACGCCCCCACCAAATATATTTTGGCACAATTAAGCTCGTGTTGGGCATTGTTGTTGTTCGAATACATATTAAGTACTATAAGGAGCCCATTAGGACACACCAAAAGCTTGTACATGCGAACTCAGGTCAAATACATTATGGCATTGCCGCCCCACCGACGCTCCCCGCAGCAAAGGGCGTCAAAGGGCGGCAGTGGCGTCACTTTCACTTTGCCCTATCTATATGGTTTCTTCATGGTTCTTTCCAATTCTTTTTGTCAACACTTTGCATACTTCCTTGACACTTAACTGCAGCGTCCTGACAGTCAGAGTGGGGGAAGGGATCCAGCAATTCAATGTTCTATGACCTGATATGCCTTTCTCACCCTTTTTCCTCCACCAAAATCGGATTTTCCTGTTGTATTTTGCTTTATTCTTGTTGTTTTCTTCTCGGTAGGCCAATAGTAGTTTGTGGCTATCCCCCTGAAAATAAATTGTCGCATAGATTGAACACAGTGCGGCCCAGCATTGTTTTTGATGGATGTTCCGGAGATTCGGGCCGGAGCCGGGGACATCAATCGTCCTCAAACTCGATCATCTGAATTTTCCTAAACACAGATTTCACAGTCTGAACCGCCATTAGTTCGGCCTGACACTATGTGAACTTGTAGCTGTCTTAATACCACCCATTCCAGTGCAAACAGAGTAATTACAACACAATCTACACAACAACTGATGTACTGGGCTCATATCCGTGTCCAAGGGTGTATTCTGTGTGTCTAGACATTCCCTGAAAGAGGTCAACCTTGTGAGGGTGAGCTGAAGGGGTAAAGAGCAAGATTCAGATGTTGACTAGCTTGCACATGTTCACAAGACTTTCACATGGACAGTGGGTGTCACACATTCATTAAATATAATAACCTTCAGTGTTAAGTGTACAAACAAATGAACCTCTGCATCTAAAAAAGACCTGCCTGAGTCCCACCTTCCACCATTGAAATACAAGTATAATTGCCTTTTTTGGAACATGGAGGTGAATATAGTTGATCCAATCAGTGGCTGTGTGCCAATCAATAAGAGGTCGAGGGCACCAAAGTATCTGACTGACTGCAAGATTTTGGGAAACAAAGAGCAGGACAGCATTTTCTGGCCATTCAAATATTGCATCAGCTGTGACCTAAGCTGCTGGGAGAATAATAATATTTTTGCCCCTAGTGTCTAGGGCTCAGCCGAGAGACTCTAGCACCTGTGTTTCGGAAACCTCTAAAGTCTCTAATACCTTCACTCTACCAGATTTTGGTGCACAGTGGACTTGAACAAAAAATGTTGGTTGCATGATATAATTGCCTTTTATGGAACATGAAGGTGAATATAGTTGATGCAATCAGTCCGATCGATGAGGGGTGCCAAACTATATCACTGATCAAACATCACGAAAACAAAGCCTGCAGAGGTTACGGGTAGCTGATGATGAGGATGTGATGTAGAGTACTAGCACAGCTTGTTTAGTCTAGCGGTATTTATGTTACTGTTCTTTATATCCCATCATGTGAGCAGCTTTGGTTCATCCCTCCACGTTGCATTTCTTTTATATTTTGCACCGGTTTCAAAATTTCAATCGGTTGATCCCAGGTGCTAGGCAGCATAATATTATAACTGATCAGAATATGGATCGGCCGAACCCAGGTGTCCAGGTGCAATAATATTATCCATCATCAAAGTATTGATCAGCTGAACTCGGGCACCTAGGTGGCATAATATTATAGCCCATTGAAATACTGATCAGCTGAACCCAGGTGTCCAGGTGAAACAATATTATAGCTCATGGAAATATCAATTGGCTGATCCCAGGTGGCTAGGTGGCATAATATTATAGCTGATCAAAATATTGATCGGCTGAACCCAGGTGTCCAGGTGCAACAATATTATACATCATGAAAATAGTGATCAGCTGAACTCAGGCAGCTAGGTGGCATAATATTATAGCTCATCGAAATACTGATCAGCTGAACCCAGGCATCCAGGTGCAATAATATTATAACTCATCGAAATATTGATCAGCTGAACTCAGGCAGCTAGGTGGCATAATATTATAGCTCATTGAAATACTGATTGGCTGAACCCAGGCATCCAGGTGAAATAATATACTCATGCAAATATTGATCGGCTGAACCCATGCGTCCGGGTGGAATAATATTATAGCTCATGAAAATATCAATTGGCTGATCCCAGGTGGCTAGGTGCAAAAATATTATACTTCATCAGAGTATCCATCGGCCGAACCCAGGTGGCTAGGCAGCATAATACTATAGCTGGTCGAAATCTCAATCGGCCGAACCTAGGTGGCTAGGTGCAAAAATATTATACTTCATCAACATATCAATCGGTCGAACCCAGGTGGCTAGGCAGCATAATAATATACTTCATGGAAGTATTGATTGGCCGAAGCCAGGTGGCTAGGTGCAAAAATATTATAGCTGATCAAAATGACCATCGGCTGAACCCAGGTGGCAAGGCAGCATAATATTATAGCTGATCAAAATGACCATCAGCTGAACCCAGGCGTCTAGGTGCAATAATATTAAAGCCGATCAAAATATTGATCGGCTGGACCCAGGTGTTTAGGTGCAATAATATTATAGCTGATGACTGGCCTAAACCAGATCAGCTCACAGAATAATATTCTGCTATGGGTCAGCCGAACCGAGGTCACTATGGTGCAATTCACTTAGTCGCCACAACTTTGTGACAACGGTTATTACGCCCTCAGAAAAAATCAGATTTTTTATTCCCCTTGGGAAAACACTCAGTTTCGCAAGAGGAAACTTTTCCCAAGAGGGATTTTTAATAGGATGAAAAATGAGGGACTAATACTTTTTTGGTCGACCAAATTAGGACTGAGCAGTCAATTAGGGCCTCCATTGGCGCACAAGCATTGGTATGGCCTTCAGAACACCCCATATGAACCTGCATTTAGCATGTGTAAGTTAAGAAAGCATTAATGAGCACCAAAGAGCACTAATATCTCGCGCTGGAGACCCAGAAACCGATACTAAAAAAAAATTTCCTCTGGTCAATTTGGGACTAGTTCAAGTTTGGTGGCGACTAAGTGAATTACACCATAGGCTGCAGCAATATTATAGTCCCTGAAAATATTGATCGGCCAAGGCCTACGGCATAGGTAGCAAAATATTATTTCGATGAGTGGCCCAACCCAGCCATGCTCGCAGAATAATATAATTACATGGGCTACTGATCAGCCCAATCCTACCATGCTGGGTGAATAATATTATATTTGGCTCCACCCAGTACTCTAGGCCCCTAATGTTTCCATTTTAGCCTGCTTTCTTTCATTAAAAACACCCGATAGCCTTTCCCTAGGAACCCTGTGAAATAATATTATTCCTGGCCCACAATAATATTATTACTGCCCTAGCAGCCCGGGTTCGGCCAAGAATCCGGCGGATTTCGGAGGCCCCTACACTCTAGGGATTAATCATACATAGGGGACCTAGCTTCTAGGGCATTATGGACTGCATATTGTGTCAATTGGATCGATTAGCCAAGAGACGAACGCGCGGTCAAGGGAACACGCTGTGTCCATCAATGAAGTCGTTGTAGACAATTGAGTAGAACTTGGGCACGTCTGCCATTCCAACTGTTGGATTCCGGTTAGTGAATCTACATCCATTGAATAGCTCAGTTGGTAGAGCACCAGACATGAATGCTGGAGTCCTAGGTTTAATCCCTGGTGGTTGAACCTCAGTTGGTATGATCTAGGGTTAAGTTCCCTAATGCCATGACAGGGCGTCTAGATATACATACCGTGTATGTGCACCGTGGGCGGCCAACAAAGAGAATAATGAGTCCATATGTGTGGATAGAGTAGAGTTGGATATGATCCTCAGGACCAGCGTGCGGTGAGAGTTTACTCAACAAAATGGAGTTGTACAATGTCAAGGTATTTGTCCTGGAGTCGGAATAGAGACGGCGGCAGTTCCATCGATTTTCGCTCTGCGAAACATTGTATGTAGGACGCAACAAATTTCCTGAGCATCTGGCGGTCAATCCGCACTTTTATTATTTTCATAGTTTTCTCACCGTTTCCATACTTTTGGGGCCTTTGGGCAGATTCGTGGAAATTTCAGACTACATTGACTGCATTATTCCATTGACTCCTTCCGTTCGCGCCCACGCGGTCGATTTGATTCGCCTCATAAAAGATCCATACAACAGTTTGAAACGGGTGACCTTGACGGCGGGGTGAGCCGGGGCCAAAGCTGAATTTGTTGCCCTACGGATTGATTTCAATTTCAGCGCAGTCCCAGAGCCGTCCTCTGGGCCAGTCTTTTCGGAAATGGGTGGCCCTTCCGTGTCCTCGGAATTTTCATAGCTCCCGACGTGCATCATTTCGCCGCAATCGGCGCCAGTGTTCGACCTTAAGCCCTTATTAAGGGTCGGATTTTTGGTTAAGGCCTTAAACATTAATAAGCCTTAATTAAGGGTCCCATTTTAAGGCCTTAATTTCCGGGGGGGGTGCAATTTTACACGGCAGCGATACATGAGAACCCGTAGAACTACTCGTAGTCATCCCCAGAGCCCTCCAACTCTCCGTCGTCCGGTTCCTCATCACTGGGCTCTGCTGCCAACAACTCCATCAATAGCTGCTGGTGAGTGAAGGCCTTGCGAGGTGCGCGTGCAGGGGGTTGCGGAATTGCCCCACCAAAAAGGCGTGAGAAAGGGCAAGGAAGCCATCGCCCAGGACGTGTGGGGGCCGGCGGCTCAGCGACAGACCGAGAGGGTTCGGAGTCGGACTCGTCGTACGAATTGCGCTCCAACCCGTCGGTCTCCAGTTCCGCCATTCTAGCCGCGACTAGCCAAGAAGTGTAAACCTTGCGCCATGCGGCGCCGGAATTGACGAGCCGCGAGCTAACACGTTCCTCTGCCTCGTCATTGGACTCTGGCTCGTTCTCCAAAGCATCAGCGTACTGAGGCACAGCAATTAAGCTGGCAACCTGACTCTCATCGTGATTTTTACGCCCTTCTCGGGGCTTGACAAAGCCCGCGGCAACATGCTCCCTCCGAATTGAAGCGCCAACCTGCGATAATGTCAGTCTCCTACTTCTAAAATGAATAACACGCGTACCTTTGACATCTTCCCGGTCTTCTCGAAGGTTAGACGGTTACGGAGACGTGTTCTCTTGATTTTCCAATCGGAAAATCACGCTCGTTGCCGCCCTGATTCACGGCAACACCGAGAATCAGAATCGCAAAATCTGCGAGCTCGCGAATGTCTGGGTGCGATAGCATCACTTCCCAGACTGCGACCGGATTATTACCCTGTCAATTTGAACGAAAAACGAAGTCAGTCGGACTCAAATTATGACAGAAAGTTTGATTGTATGTGTAATTTTCGAAAATCAGCCTTCTGTTCGTCGAAATTGGCAAAGACACCGACAATCGCCATATATTTTAGGAAGGCTTGAGATACCTCTGCCTCCTTGGCCTGTTTCTTGTCATCGAGTGTAGTCTGCTGCTCCGGCGTTAGCGGGCCAGGAGGGGGGCGCGATTTAATACGTTGATACAGCTATATGTCTGGTGAGACGTTGTCTGTCATGAGAACGATAATGGCGTACTTCGATTAGAACAGCTCGCAACGTAAAGACGGAAACCCCGGCTTGATCACCGAATCGAGAAACCCGTTCGTACGGATTTAGTACCATGGCCATAATGAAGAAATGTTGGTCCATAGCAGCCCACCATTTCTCGATGCGCTTCATCATCCCGGTGGCGACGGCACGATCCGTGTGCTGCTTGAAGTGCAAATAAACACCTGCAAATCCAAGCAACACCTGGTCTGCTCGTGTTTTTTCGCCCTGGTTGATGTTAGTAATGTAACAAATGGGTTCGATATCATCTGCAACGGTCTGCAGATCACTCCAGAAGAAAGGATTATCGAAAAGATCGCAGAATTTGTTGGCCTCGTCCTCCATTTTCTTACGCTTTTTCTTGTTTTTCTCTGCCCCAACCTGCGCCGCAATAATCTCGTCGCGGCGAAGAATTGCCGCCTGACGCGTTGGGCCTTTGAGCTGAGTGAGACGATTAAATGCGATGGAGTGAGTCGTCCAGCGCGTAAGATTTGCCACGAGGTACGCCAGAACAGAACCCCCGTTCTGCTCGGCTTGAACTCCCTCGAAGACGTCCCGGACACGCTCGTGGGAATTAATCCAGCCGATCGCGTCAGTCGTATCTTCGGCTATGGCAAGCGCGCGTTTGTTCTCCCGGAAGTAGTCGAGCAGAATGAGTTGGCCCTGATTGACGCATCAAGAGTAATACACCAAAAAAAGCAGGAAACTCACCTGGTGCGCACAACAGGCGATTCCGAGCAACCAGGGCCGCAGAATTATGAGCAACTTGCGCCCGGACTGGCTGCCCCCATCGTTGTCGCAGACGTAACAAACGACGATACAGCCAGTCTCCCTCTCGGCCTTGTCGATATGTTCACAAAATGCTTTGCACATTGACTCGCCATCCTTTTTCTTCCCTCGTGTATGGATCACATCAATTAAATACGACTATTTGCATTGAATGAAATTGGGAAGGAGATGCAACTAACTCTCATACCGTCCCATCTACGGTGATGTCAACACCTGTCACGGAATATTTATCCTTCCAGCCATCGGAACTGTGGAGAAGTCAATACAAATCTCGAGGAAACAATGTAGACTCACGAAGTCTATATCGGCCTTTCACAGCCCTCACAACCTCCTTGTCCACCTTCGCCACCTCCTCGTCAAGAAGCCGACCAGAAATGATTTTGTCTGCAGGCATTACGTCCGTTGCGGTGGACCGGAACATTAAAAAGAGCTTGATGATCTCGGGATCGACCGTCCAGCGGAAAGGGAGATTAGCGGAGATGGTCGCACGAAGGAACTGGGTACGGACTGCCTCCACCTGCGCGTCATTGAACGGGATATCGAGACCCTTGAAAACTTTCAGCTGGGTCTGCTGTATGCTCTTCCTACACGCTTAAACTCCACACGCTTCCGCTTGCGAGACGGCTCATCGTCATCGCTATCTTCCGGCGCCTTCCCTGATTTTACCTCCTTGGCCATCTTTTTCGCCGCTGCCGATGCGTGGGGGCAGCCAATCAGATGGTTAGCCATGGCCTTCTTTTCGCCGCGGACGTGCGTGGTCTGACCCATGGCTTTGACTTATTACGAAAGTGTCAAGCAGGAAAGATATATAAAGCACTCACCGGCGTTAAACCAAGCTTGAGCAGCCAGAAGCGGTTCTGCTTCGTCCCCAGAGTCGACATCCATGGCGTTACCGGCCGATCCAGCCACGGGACGGTGAGTTTGGACGCAGCCGAGACAGTATGCCTTGTAGTGGGCCGAGTTCTGTTTTTCACCAGCATGGAAGAAGGCCCAGAGGCCAGATTTCGCAGGCGGCATAGCTGGAGCTCGTCGTGGACGGTCTTGGTCGCGAGGAAAATCTTTGATGGGATCACAATATCTGATGCCATCATTACCCTTAATTAAGTCTTTGGACGATTTTGGCTTCTTGTTAAGCTTAATATTAAGGCCTTATTAAGGCTTAAGTTAACTTAAGGCTTAACCCTTAAGTCGAACACTGATCGGCGCACGGGAGCATGCCGGATGAGTCGTATTTCACACCTCCGGTCTAGAATATATACCACAATAACGATTGACTAATCAATTAGTGTTTTACACACCTGTTTTTTCTTGATCTTTCCTTTTGGCATTGCTCGCGAGCCCGACGTGAAGCGCTGAGGAGAATTTTTGGAAGGCTGTGCTCTGCACGTGAGACTGATCCGCCACCCAAATCGGGTAACTGCCCTATTTGGGATCACACATTGACAGAGAACACTCAGATTTATTCTCAGACCCATTTAACACTCACGAAACACATTTTTGAAGGTTCCCAAGGCTCTTTTATAACTGACCCTACAAAAAAATTTCAGCCGACCTCGGACCCCCCCCCACCCCATATCCGAAATTTTAATGCCGGTTCCCCCTTGGTCAATTTTGTGCGCATCTTCTGCCGGACCCATTGCTGCACTCATAATTGCTCCTTCAACGCGCACATTCCAACTACATGCTACTAGTACTAGCGAGGAAAAATAGATCTTCCTCATCCCAACTCACAGTCCTCGAGCCTATCGCTCTACGCCCAACATTTTCCGTGAACTTGAGTTGAAGGCACACTGGCGGTTGAACTGTATAGCCTGCGATTGAAAGTAATAAATTGGCACCATGACCATCTGCTGGCCAAATGTAGATGAATTCAATATTAGAGAGGTTGCGCAAAAGCCGCATGCGGCTTTCAAAGCCGCACGGGGCAATATCCTTTTTTTTCTCCGGAGCATCACTGGGACTCTCAAATAGCCTCTTTTGACTACCAGAGCAAAGAGAAAAAAAAAGCCGCATGTGGTGAGTTTGCGCACCAAAAAAGCCGCATACGGCTTTGCGCAACCTCTCTATTGTATCGGGGATGTTGGTCACAATAGCGAAGTGTCGGAATGGATGGATCCTCAAAGTTCCAGCCATATGTCTATTTGACATCGCATCACTGAAATTACCCATTGACAATGTTGTTGAAGAGCCTTAGGTGGAAAATAAGGTGGCCTGAAACAATGTCAAAGGTCCCTCAGCAAAATAAAATGCCCTTGAGGTAACCTGGTTCCTGACTGGAGCTCAAGCCGCGTGGAAAACACAAGTCTAGTCATATTTTAGTCAC